GGTATTTAATCTCCAGTTTATACTTTTTGGGATTTCTTTCTTATTATCTAAATTTAAAGTAACTGGTGCATGATCGCTGACAGCAATAGGGTGTATCTTAGTGTCTGAAATGTTGGTCAGCAATGAGTTGCTGATTATAAAATAATCCAGACGAGAGTAAGAGTGATGCACATGTGAAAAGAAAGAATACTCTTTACTATTAGGGTGAAGAGACCGCCATGCATCGCAGAGTCCATAATCACTCATGTACTGTTTAACTACATTTATGGATTGCCAACTGCGTTGAGCTCCTACTGCATTCAGCCTGTCTATTTTGTTATCTAGACCAAAGTTAAGATCACCTCCCAGTACCAGCGAGCAATCCATGTGATTTGATAGAGTAGAGAAAAGATCATGAAAAAAAGCAGCATCGTCCACGTTTGGCCCATATAAACTAACAATACAATATTTTTGACTGAGTATGGATAATTTTAATATTATATATCTACCTTGCGGGTCTATAACTGTGTCTAATATTGTGAAGTTCACATTTTTATGTATTAATATTGCTACTCCTCTCTGTCTTGAGTTATAGCAGGCTGAGAATACATGAGGAAACTCAGGAGATTTTAGCTCATCCACAGTTGACGGTAATTTATGAATCTCTTGGAGTAATACAACATCTGCCTTTAATCTTTTAATCTGGCTAAAGATTCTATTTTTTTTATGTTGGCTACCGGCTCCATTAATATTCCATGTGACAAACCTTAAGATACCCATATTTGTGCTTGTGAAAATATAATTAAACCACACCCATTATCACAAATATCAAAAATAGTATAACACCCAGACAATAACATAATCCTTAATGATTGATTATTTATGATTTATAGATAAACTAAGTGCTGTTTTTGAAGGTAAATCATGGATGTATTCCTTTATGAGGTATTTGTATGTATGTATATGGATATATATAAGCCTTTGTGCCTGTGTTCTAATAATTGTTGAGTCAGAAAAATAGAGACAAAAAAAAGAAAGTGAAATGATAATAAACACGTAAAGATAAAAGAAGAGAAAATAAAAAAAGAACCCCCTTACCACATTAAGTGTCATGCCACCGTGTACCACCACCATCTGTGTAACCCACCAACCGAGCTGTGCTGAAAAATTACATAAATATCTGGTAAGTAATATGAATATATATGCTTGCTAATAAATTTTAAGTAAAATTAGCAACTGAAGATCATACTTACCTTATTTATATTATTAATAGAGCCAGGGAGTAACCTCTGGATCTCTAAACAGCTGACCATTGATGTAGAGTTTGTCCACAGCCACAGCAGCTCTTCTGCCCTCGTTTATATTTTTCTTCCTAATCGGGAACAGGACGCGCCTTCTACTCAGAATCTCTGCAGGGAATTGGTCGTTCATGCTAAAGTTCGTGTCACGCAGTTCCCTACCTCGGCTTTTAACTTGTTCTTTCTGTTTGTAATGTTCAAACTTAGCTACAATCGGCCGCGGCCGATTGCTTCCAGGCTTCTTACCTCCGAGGCGGTGGACCCGGTGAAAAGTGATGGATTTAACCGCGTCACTCGGCAACTTCAGCTGATTCTGGATGAAGTCACGGACGGAGGCCTCAGGGACCTCGTCCGCTCGCTCCGGGATTCCCGAGAAGACTAGGTTGTCCCGCATGCTCCGGGCTTGGATATCCAGGATCGATTCTTTGATTTTTTTATTATCCCCGGATAGCAGCGTCATCTCCTCGGTGAGTTGTTTAACTGTCCCTCTCAGCTCCTGATTTTCACTAGCAAGTGATGCTACCTGCTGTTGACTGAATTCTAAAGACTCCCTGAGGCCTTGAAACTCTTTATGTAGCATCTCTACTAATGCTAGTCGGGCGTCCAAGCTAGTTAGCTTCTGGTCAATTGACTCCAGTATCTCCTTTAAACCTGAATCATCAGGAGACGGTGCCGTAACGCTGTCTGAGCTGCCCTGTCGATGCCGCTTAGCAGTGGGGATGTTAGCTGAATTGCTAGCAGCACCGGATGTTTCTTTAGGCTTACCCATGACTAAGCTGTCAAAACACTCGTCAACAAACAATTCCAGGCTCTCCAAAGTCTCCTCGTCCAGTTTGTTTGATCGAATGAAAAAAGTTTATTAGTAATATTTAGGACTTTCTTTCTTAATGATCTTATATTTAATTAAACAGTTTTTATTTAAATAAATACGGACTTACCAAAGTTTTATCATAATACTCACGCACAGTTTTTCCTAGTTCTCAGCAACAGCTCATTGCACCGCCACGCCCCCTGCTTGGAACCCTCTGGTTTACAAACTTGCTCATTGAAGACAGAAAAATCAAGAAATGCATATTACCCTGATTTCTTCTTTGAATGAGGAATAAAAATCATTACTTACTGTTTATGTAAAATAAAAATGAGTAGTTCTCTTCAACCTGTAAACATTGTTTGAACTAACACAATTTGATTATCAAACATTTGTAAAATAGTAATGATCATAGAGGATTGTCTTTTCCACTTGATTAATTCAAGAAAGAAAGTCTCAGGATGGGTCAAACTGTATTTCTGGATTCAGATCAATGAAATGACAGTTTCTGTCCCACAAAGTTCTTAAGGTCAATGATTTGACATCAGGTTAGGTTCACTACATTGTGTTTATGCTTTTTGATTTATTCCTATTTAACACATGGTCATTTGATCTGATTTACTATTTCATTGTTTCTGACTGAGTTTATTCTTTTATGTTATTATTCTGTGACATTTGACACAAGGTGATCTGATTTAGTATTTCTTTGTTCCTAATTATGTTTTGTGTTTTATATTTTTATTCCATGTGCTGTAATTATATCTTGTTACTTTTTATTTAATGCTATGATCTTTTTGTTAAGCACTTTTGTAACAGTTTCTGTTTTTATATGTGCTCTATACATAAATCTGACTCGACTTAAACTACGCTTTGATGTATGAAATACAAAATCAAAACACAATCAAAACTAGAGAAATTGCATTTCCTGTGAAAATGGACTGTACTTATATAGCGCCTTTATATCTTATTTCAAGATACTCAAAGCGCTTTACACTACCATCTGTGCCTCATTTACCCTTTCATACAGCACTCTACTAGATCTCTACAAAGCTAATTGAACAAATCATTATAAAGAAACTAATCAGTGCTTTAGATCACATTCATACACCGATGGGACCCACATCAGAGGCTATGATGGGTTCAGTGTCTTGCCCAGGGACACTTCGACATGTGACTGCTGGTGGATTTGAACCCCCAACTCTCGCATTGGAGGACGACTGCTCTACCACACAGCCACAGCCGCCCCAGATGTGTGAATGCTTATTGCTGAAAAACAGCTGAAATCAGCTAAAAACATGCTGAAATGTAGCTAAAATGGAAGATCAAGCCTAAGTTAGCAGAAGAAAGTAGAAAAAACACATATTTGCTGAGTGTGTTTTTAAATGAGCAGAAATAGCACAGACATAAATTAGCTAAAAAAGCTTATACAGTAATTAACAAGAAATAGCTTAAAAGTAGCTGAAATGGCAAAAAGAAGCTTAAATTACCAGAAGGAAGTAGAGAGAGCACATTTTTGCTTAATTTGGCTGAAAGAAGCAGAAATGTGCACCTGCATCTGCTGGTTTCAACTCCCAACAGCTGGAGAAAGAGGGGAGATAGTTTAGTGTTGTAATATGTCTACGTCTATTCCCTGCTAACCTCTGCTACTTTTGTCCTTCACTCCCCGCCTCATCCTCCTTCAATCTCCTGGAACCTGCTTTATTTGTAAACTTGCAAAAAGAAAGGAATATCTTTCTGGAAACTAATAAATTTGGATTACATACATACATATACAAATATACATACTGTTTTTCATGCTTTATATATATTTGTATATGTATGTATATGTATATGTATGTATATCTGCATTCTGCCGAGCGTGATCTTAAAGTCATCTACCTGGAAGCTGCAGCAGAGGTGTTCCAGCGGGCAGAAGAGGAAGCACTGCTCCCGGCTTAAGAGGAGAGGATGCCGGGCGGGGGTTATGGTGAGGCTATGAGCTAACGCTAAAGCCGGTAAACTCCCCATGCCGTCTCTCTTTCTGTCAAATGTCCGCTCGTTGGACAACAAGATGGATTTACTTCGTCTGAGAGCAGGCGCCTCAGAAGAGATGAAGAAGTGTGCGGTGCTTTGCCTCACAGAAACGTGGAGTACAAGCAAAACGCCGGACACAGTCTTCCAGCTGGATGACAGACTTTTTTTTCAAGCGGACCGCTGCAGCGAGCTAACGGGGAAATCACGGGGAGGCGAAGTATGCATTTACGTGAGTAAAAGTTGGTGCACGAACTGTACTGTTGTAAATAGCTCATGCTCGAAGGCTTTGGAGCAAATAACAGTGAAATGTCGGCCACATTAT